TTTTGTTGTGTTGTTGCTTTTGCTGTTGTTGTTGTTGTTGTAGCTGGGTGTCATCTATTTGTATTTTTATGTGCTTAATGTCAACGAAATAATTGAGTAACTCTGTGGCGTAGGTGTGTACAAAGGTGTGTGTAGCTGTGTGTGCCCGAGCCGGAAAGAGAAAAAGCAACAAAGTGCAGGCATATCACATGAATAGTGAATGGGGGGCTTTGGGCTAGGGGAGTGGGTTACTTTTGGACATTTGGGCTGCTGACAGCTTGACTGAAATGGAAAGTTAATGTTTATTCCATTTTTATGTCCAGGGCTGGTTGAATACCAGATACCAGAGGGGACACGGTGGCAGCTTTTAAATCGTATCTCTATTTTGATGTTTCAGCGCTATTTCATGTTTGGTGCAGAAGGTAAAAAGTTAAAAGCAAATGCTTTTGATAAATATTCAATGGGGGTAGAAAATAAATAGTGTGAATTACAGAAATTTAAAGGAAACTCAAAGAGATATTTTTTGCTAATTATAGAGTGAATTTTTTTTAGATAGATGGCAAGCTTATAAATGCAGTAAATATATATAGAATTTTATTTGAGGATTTTCAGTAGAACAGAAAATATTGAGTTATATTTTTAAAGTTTTGATATACTAAATAATAGAAAAAAGAACGAAAATAAAGTTTATAAAATAAATTAAAATATTTGTTTGCGGGATATGTTGCGAATTTGCCATATAAAGAAGAAATATTTCTTTTATTTTGTATTTAGTTATTTATTTGTTTGCTAATGATCGACAAAACGAGAGTCTAACCAAGTATTTAATTGACAAAAAAAAAAACCTTAAATTAATAGCTAAAATATATATTTGTTTTTTTTTGCTATATAACAGTTATGAATACCTAATACTTTAATCTTGTCTAGTCTGCATCAATATTAGTTACTTTATTTAACCTGAGAAATATCAGAAACTAATCGTATTATGTAGCCTACTTCATATATTCTCTCAAAATAATCCAACTTTGTGCAACCGAGTTTTTTTTATAGCTTCAGTTTGCTGTTGGAGTTAGCTTTTTATATGGGAAAACAAAACTCTTTGAGCCGCTTTTAGGCTTTATGTCTTTTCAATACATGCGAAACGAGTAAATTTTATGGTCACAACAGCGGTCCACCTGTTTGGCATGCACAACTAGTCGAAAACAGTTTTCCTAGCTTTCTTTCAAGTGGATTTTTTCTCTATACTTTTTCTCATGTTCACAGATATTATATTATTTCTGTTGGCATGGTGCGTGGCAAAACCAATTTTCTCAGCGCGCCACTTGCCGCTCTTTTTGGTAATATGACCATTTTATGGTCCACGCATGTGGTGTGTGTATGTGTGTGTGTGTGTGTGTGCCGGTGTAGGTGCTAAAGCTAAACACGTACTAGCATGCCCAAAGGTAGTGGCTGCCAGCTCTAGGCAGCACCACCTGCCTGGGTTTTCTTCTTTTTTTTTAATGAAACAATCTCAGCAAATATGATATTTTGTATGCAAACATGCAAAATATTGCCTGCGCCTGGGTCCGGGCCCAAAGCGTACTCGTAAAACGAAATAAGCCATGCGCCTCAGCACCACAGCAGCTCCTATCCTACCCTGCTGAGCTGCCTCTAGAAAAAATACCTAGCGCTTGGGTGGGCTGCGGGTGCTCCCTTACGGCGTATCTTGTGTGGTTGGGTGGCTGCGTCTTACGTCAAAAGACAAACAAACAAATATTTGCGCTGACAATAAGCTGAGTGGAGCGCAAAAAATAAGGGAATTAAATGCAGTACTCGGCTGTTTTATGAAACGAAATCGCCACGATTCCGCCAACGTTTCACGTGGGAGGAACAATGTTGCTCTCGTTCTTATAATACATTTTAAGTTTATATCGGAACTCAAATATTTTCAAATATATTTCTTCAAAAAATTCAAAGCATATTTTACTGTAAAAAACATTGAACATATATAGGTATTCAGATCTTTTTTATATTCATTTCATAATAATCGTCGTGCTTACAACAAATATTACATCCAGAACAACCCCTACCCAAACTCAATCAACTCAGCGCGCTGTGAAGCGCAGAGAAAGGCGCAAAGCTGCCACATGCCTTGCCTGCTTTTTCAATACATCAACGCATTTTGAGCGGCTTTTATGAAAATTTTATGTTCTTAGTTGCCGAACTCAAATTGTCAGCTGCATTTCAAATGAGGCCTCAGCGAAATAAAACCCTTTGATAAGTAAATAAAAATATACATATGAAATTTTTTTTTGTCAACTTGGTTCCTCAAGTCCTGTATGTATGCATGGATATACTCACACACACACACATACACACACACACACACTAAGACACATTCTTATATATTAAATATGTATTGTATATCAATAATTCAATATTTATTTTCACTTTTGTCGCTTTTTCTCATTTGTGCTCAGCCGTAAGTCGTAACAAGGAAATTTAATCTTTTTCTTTTACACATTTCTCCACCTGCTGGCAAATGTTCCTTTTTTTTTGGTGTTGCTTTTTTTGAGGAGCGTTGAAACCCAATTAGTTGACGACAACGTTGACGTTGAAATTTGACATCTTTGCTGGCAAAGCAGCAGAAGCAGCAGCAATTGAACATTGAAGTCCAAATTGTATTTATAACGAAACGAAATGGGGAGAACATCAATATTTTTTCTTTCTTTCAACCTGGTCCCTCCTATTCAGGGATGAGTTTTAAGTTTCTTGTGCTGGGCAATTGATAATCAAATCACTAAAAAATGCGGTTATCTTTATATTTAGTTATGTGTGTGTGCCTTAGATTTACAAGGCCTAAGGGGATGGCATCAAAGGTCTAAGGATGCGTTGGCAAGAAAACGTTTATAACTAGAATAGGAGAGTCGATGACTGTCGTGAACATAATGAGATTCTAGTCAGGAAATAGGAAGTTGATAGATAGATACCTTGATTTACAGGTATGAGATGTATAAGAAAAATTATTTTTAATATAATGTACAGATAAAAAAAGAATATGAGGATAACAAATAGATAGTAAAATAGAAAATATATCATATTAGAACAGCTAACATTTCTTACCCTTTTCTAAATCGCTTTGAGCTCTTGATTTCCATTAAAAATGTTTCTTTCCCTCATATTTCTTAACCATATTTCTTATCTCATATAAATATTTTTCTTAACTTTATCTCTTTTAAATATTATTACCTTTCGCCTTGAATGAAACAATCTTCATTTAAATATAAATGTGTGTTAAGTATACGCTTATGTAAATGCCGTTCTCCTATCTCTATTTTCATTAAATACCATAAAATTTCCTCAACAACTTTGTACCCACTACCCCGCATCCCCTCATACCACCCCCTCCGAAACTATTTACCATAGTCACTAATTACAATTGCGCGCTGTCTTAGCCGTTTGGATCGAGGCTGACGCTGTATATGGACGTCTTGTAGCCCCCAAGGAGTTCAGTTCGTTTGAGTCCCATTCCGTTAGGTTTCGTGCCATGCCGTTCGGTTCCGTCCAGTGTTGGGCAACTAAGCTGTCAACAAATTAACTGTAACGCTCTGAGCAGCTCCGACATTGTGCCCATGTTCTGTTGCCTAGTTGCTGGCTTGGTCGCTCGGCCGTGCACATGTGCCGTAAATTGCATGCCCCAAAGGAGCTGCTAAAGCGACAAACCGACCAACCAACAGCCCCCCCAACAAAGCGACAAAACCGACCAAAAGCAACAACAAAGCGACAGCAGCAGCTGCTACAGCCGCTCCACATGAATTGAACAATTAGCAAAATTGCTCAGACCCCAAAAACAGAAAAATAAACTGCCAGATGATTTAAATTTCTTTTCTTCTCAACGTTTATACATACATATACACTATCATTGGGTATTATAAATTTCTGGCAAAACGTGCAACTCAGGCATTTCTATTACGAACTTTTGTTTGTCAGACAATGACCAGAGCCCAAATTTTAGCTTTGGTTATGTTTGTGAAAGCTAAGATGATGAGGTTCTCAAAAACTTCCATATTAATCTAATGGGAAAATCCACCTTCTTGGGTGGGAAATGCGTGTTTTCAAGGTTGTAAATTCAACTAATTAATTCGAATAAAGTCAATTATTAAAAATAATTAAATACTTATATTAGAATTTTTCTTATACTGTTGTGAAAGTGTAATCAAAGTTCGACGCACTACGTACAATTGTGTATATGTAGTGTACCAATTTTATTCTTTTCATGTATTTGTGGGGCTGTTCAGAGTTAGGGGTGCGGGTTGGTTGTCGCTATAAACGATATACATTTTGTATAAATAACGGCGCTACGTGCGGTAATGATGCCGACACGTGACAAGCCAGCGAAAAGCAGGTAGACAAAAGGCGCTGAAATGAGATATTTTTGGCGAATATTTATTATGGCGTCCGGGCAGGTGTATAAATTTGCATGAGCTACTGCGACGCGTGCGTGTGTATGTGTGCGCGCAGGTGTGTAAAAGTATGGCCAGAGGGAGGGGGAGTCGAGAACAGTTCACAAAGCACTGCATAAACAAATAAACAAACAAAACATAAATTTTTGCACACAACACACGCACACACACATACATAATGTGTAGGTGTATGCGGGTGTTACGCCCCACTGTGGTGCGGTTCTCCTTATGCCTGGCACGTTTTTTGGCTGTCGCCGTTTCCGGCTCTGCTGACTTGTGCCGTTGCCTTCTGTGGGCCTTTCGACTCCGCCGGGGCTTGACATTGGCTTTGATAACAATAATAATAATAAGAAGGTATAATAACAATCATTTTGTGCCCATAAATGCCGCTGCATGCCTCGACCCAGTCCCTGGGCCCACCCTGCCCCAACCACACCTAAAAGCCAACCATGAGAAACTCTCTTAAATTTTGTATATTTTTTTATTGACTAACAGTTTTGTTGGAAAATTGGTTTATTTATAGCAATATTTTTATTTTTATTGTTGCGGCACATAAAACATTTTCAAATTTTTTAAAAAAGAAATAAATAACAATGTGTTGAAGAGTCCATCCATCAGACAGCAAGAGATTTCCAAGTGCAGCAGCTAAGGAATATAAAAACAATTTATTGTTAGCCACGAATATTTATTGTTATTTGGAAAGACTTAAGACTAATCAAATATCTTTTATTTTGTTTTATCTCTTTCTTATAGCTACACATGTGCTGATCGAAACGCATAAACTGCTGTAGAGATAGATGAGAAAAACAAGAACAACAACAACGGTGGGAAATTATGGCGATATTTAATAACGTGAGTAGCGTTTTTTATGGTTTGATTAAATACTTAAAAACTCTTTTTAATGATTCTATAAAGATATGCAGTTTTTATGAACATAAAGAGAAATAAACATATAAAAAGTATAATATAAATAACAAACGACGTTTATGCGATGAAATTCATGATATAATACAGCAGCGCGATATATATGCTTGTTCTCTTGAGTCTTTCTTGTTTTCCAATTATTATTTCCGCTTTTTTAAAGAAGTAATACGAATTTACTATACAACACAAAAAATAATATGCCCCTTAAAAGAAGCTCATGTGCTCACAAAATATTATTTTTAAATGCACACCAGAGAGTTTAATTAATAAAAATCTCAAATTCTATATTTGAGCCAACATATTGTGTGTTCTGCGTTGAGTTCTAAAAGCGTTGAGTTCCATAAAATATGCTATTTTTGCTGTTCTGAACAATATATTCTTGAATAATTAATTAGTTGAATTGAAGGCTGTTTTTTTATTATTGGAAATCACCTCATATGTACGCATTCCTTAACTTAATAATTCCATAGTATTTCAGTTCTCAGATATATTTAATACTTTACGAATAGAGTGTAAACAAAAATAATAAGAAATGAGTCACATTTGGAGTGTTTTTTGGAAAGATAAATACGAAAGATTTTTCTTGTCAATCTTTATATTGCTACAATTCCCAAATGGTATAGACGCGCACTTCTTCGAAAAAAAGTTGCTGGTTCAACCTTTTTTTTGTTCAAATTTGTTTTAAGTTCTTCAGTTAAGGATTTTTCATGGCATCTAAATCACATATATTTGAAATTTGTTAACCACCCATATTTCACTCGTGCGTTCCACCGTCAATAAATCAAAAACGCTACGCAATGTTGTTGTCCAATGAGCCGCAGCACATTTTGCATATCGCATGATGTCCGGTTTTTGGGACGCACACACTTTCTTGTTCGGCTGTGGTCTCATTTGTCAAGTAGTGCCAGATCTTTGGCCACATAACTGAAAGCTATCAAATCGCTGCCAGTTGAACGTATGATTTGGCCATTAGGCAAAAGGAAAGCAAAGCTACGTGCCAATGCAAAATCGAGTCGGATTTTCCAAGTGTCTAGACTTTTCGTGCTATTCCAGTGCAAATACAGTTCTTCGGGCCCTCCTATTTGCATAGTCGGGTGGTCGTGGTGTTGGTGGAGGGGGGGGATGGTGAAGGGTGGCAGTTCGCAATTACTGCGGAGCGTATTGAACAGCTTCTGTTTTATGGGCAGCGCCTCCATTTGCCAGCCATAATAGAAGGCTCTGTTCATAAAGTAATCTCGACTGCGCCTTTGTGTGCGTTATATGCGGGCCTTAAGCAGGCCGCTGCTGCCCCAGCTGGCCCCCTTTCACTCCGCCCATGTCTCTAAGAGTTGTAACTTTTGTTCGACGCCCGGACATGTGAATATCAAGGATATCAGCTGGCACAAAAGGCAACAAATTAAACGGTTCTATTTGCAAATGAATTGTGCGTGTCTGTACTGCGTAATTTTGCTGGAAAACTTTGCAATACGCCCATGCAACCCATACACTTAAAGAAATATTCCTAATCTATATCAGTATGACCAATTTAATTTTCTTTCTTAACTGTATGTTTACTTTTTTTCTTGAAGTTTCCTGTGAATCGGGTTTTATTTCGAACAAGAATTTTCTTACGCAAAACAAGCGTGAAACATTTTCAATGGCAGTACAACTTTGCCTGGTTTTGTAATTAGAAATCTTAAGATTATAAAAAGTTTTAAAATGAAACAGGTTAGAATAGAAAAAAAAAGAATGCAATAGAATATAAAATAATTTTATTATCAGGCTACATATACATTTCTAAGATACGGGCCTTCACTGTATGTTAAAATGTAAAAATTTTGAGGATTTAAAAAAGTTCTTTTACTTGAACAAAGTTTCTTTACATGGAATACTATATGTTTAATTAAAACTAAAAATAAGATTCTCCGATTAGAACAAACTGAAATTTTATATGAAGAATTTTTATTTTAATTAACATGTCTTAAGAACTCTGCTTGGGTTCTTACTCACATGAACATTTGAGAGGATTGGATTGGTTGTAAATAAAATAATTGACAATACATATATAAATATTTTGTGTACTAGGAAATTTTAAATTGAAATAAGTTCTTTAATTACCATGCTTAGGCTATAAACTGCAAAGGTTTGGCAAAGTTTGTGTTTGATCTGCACACAACGTGCCTGACTATTTCGCCGAGTGTAGCCCGCTAGTTCTCCTTTATCTCTAATGTGTTGTAAAATGTTGGGGATAACCCAATAACTAGGCAAATAGACACACACGCGCACACTCTTGAAATAGAATAAGTAGCTGCTATAGAAAGGAAACGAATTGAAAGCAAAGGATTCTAGTGTCTTTGTGTGTGTGTCTTTTGTGTGTGTGTGCGCGCATGTGTGTGCTGAACTTTTGTGTGGGCTTCTGCTTTTGCGGCATTTCATACGCTCAATTGCTGTTGGTTAGCCAACACTGGCAGCGTGTCCTGGTCGCCAGTCAATTGAAAATGAAATTGCTAAAACTTGGCAAGTTCTTCCCATCCCCGCCTCCCCCCCTCTCTCTCTCTCTCTCTCTCTCTCTCTCTCTCTCTTTGCTGTGTGTGTGCCTCAAAGCACAACGTGCGGACAAGCATGCATAATGAGCTGCAGGAGCGTCTCCTTGAAACTGGCCCCGTCTCATGCCCCACACCGCGCCTCGCTTTTGGCATGCGGGCAAGTTACCTCAGCAAATTAATACTAACAGACGCGCAAAAGTATGCAACATCAAATGGCCCAAGCAACGTGCCACCAGCTTTTATGACACTGCAAAAAACTGAGGTGCAGCCGTTTGCTCGCCCGAACCTCTTTTGGCTCGTAAAGCTGCAACTGCAAACTGCAGGGGACATATTTTGGGGCAACATTTCGCTGCTGCTGCTTATCACTTGACACGTTTTGTTGTCGTCATTTTATTTTTCTTTTTTTTTTTTTTTATAGATTTGTTTGCATTTGTTGCCTCCCCTTTTTTTTGAGTGCATTTGCTTGTTGCGCTTGGCGTTGACTACGCAGTTTACAGATTTTTACGATTCAACTCGCCAAATTTATATTTTTTCTCGTTGTTGTTCTTGTTGTTGTTGCACATGTGCGAAAGTTTTCATTATTGTCACAAAGTGACAGATTGTTCGGTTATAGATATGTAAAGAGGGGTTTTATGCAGGGGAAGTTAAAAAGGATTAAGCGCATAAAAATGCAGACAAAATGCGACCATATTATGGAACTCCAACAAGAAGTGGGTTTTTACGAGCGCCTTTTTTTTCACTGTCAGTGGACCTGTGGGATTTGGTTTGAATGGTGCTTTGACTCGAATTTTATGAGTATTAAACATGATGCACAGTTGTGGCTATGATATATGAAAAAATCCTAAAGGTATGACGGTGGAATATGTATCAAAAGGGAAGATACTTCACTTTGTGGATACTCAAATTAAAGTAGATTCAGCAATCAAATTTCTAAACGGGGATTGGCTAGTATTAAAATTGCTTGCAGACAATTTATGTTTTATATTTTTAGCAAACGAGTTTAATTAAAAGATACTTCAAAATATGTCTTATACCCAAATACAACAAGATTGCCTAATTTTAAAATTACTTTTAAAAAATGTTAAGGCTTAAAATAGTGTCACAGAAAGGCACACAAGTATGGGAACAAATTTTAAATTGTAGATTAGATAAGAGCTAAAACTTATATATAGAAGAACGACCTGTTCAGCATAGTCTCCGATATAAAAAATATATAACAACAAACTCGAATTGAAAATCTAGCAAAACCTATTTTAATATTATTTCATAATGTGTCGCGCATTAATGGGAGAATTTTTCGACCACATAGTTATGCCTATGATTTATAAAAAAAATCGTAAATGATAAGCTGAAAATAAAAAGAAAACTTGTTTAAGGCGGATCAAAAAAAAGGCTTTGATTCACAAAAAAAAAAAAAACATTGAAAACAGTTTAAAAGCAAAAACTCTAAAGAGGAACCTTGCAGAGACTACTCTCTTATTTTGCATAATATATAATATACTATATACAGTCTTGCAGCGAAACAACCAGCTGGGTTAATATATTAAAACCCGTCCAATCTGTTGCCCGACAGCTTGTTTGCAAACTAGTCGACTATTTTAAAAATCAACTTCATGTTTAGGCTTTTTGCGCGGATAATTATTTTATGTAGCTCTTATATGAAATATGTGTTTTGAGCTACTTTAATGTTGGTTAAGTTATCTTATCCTATACTAACTAAATATCGATGAAGTGTATATATATATCAGAAAAATATATCTTATGTATGAAGATATCTAAAATATTTACAAATGTCCATTTACACTAATTCCTCTTAAACATCGGTAAAACGTTCTTTTTATATCAGAATAATATATCTGCTGTGCCAAATACCTACAGAAACTTAAACTTTAAGTTAAGTTTGTGTATGAAAATTAAGTCTGCAAAGGTATTTAATCTTTGGCACAAAGGTCTTTGCCTTTTTCCTTCCAATTGTAGTCAACAAACTTCTTCTAATAAATATTCTTTAAATTTAAATATTTACTCTTATTTATTAAGTATTAGACCTAGCTCTTAATTAAAATATTTTATAGCTTATATTTTATATACAAAAAAAAAAAATGCATTCAACTGTTCAATTGTTTAAGAAAACTTACCAGTTCTTGGATGAAAATATCTATTTAAAAGCCAGCCTCTTAGCATTCCATCTGTGATCAAAGCCTTCACATTTCCTTGTTTATTATTATCAGTCTTTCATTTGTTAAGTTTGCTTTGCCTAAAACAAATAAATGAAAAGAGCGAAAATCAAATAAGTCTCAATTTCTCATATTTTATTTGATTTATTGCTTAAATAAAATTCGCAAGAAATAGTTGGATTTTTTTTTTTGCCTTTGCGTGCGTCACATGATTTTGGTTTTTCACAATATACAGAAATGTTGCTGGTTTTTAAATTTCATTACAAAAATAAATATATTATCATAATCCTGTTTTTTTTCGTACTCTCATATTTTTGCTAAAGCTGCCCCGTAAAATGTTCAACAACTTTCTGCAAATATTTTTCGTGCAGCATTTGTGTCATTTTTTGTTTTCGTTTGTTTGTTTTTGTTAATTCGGTGTTTGGCTTTTCATTTTGCGCATCGAATGCGGCAATTTGACATTTGCATTTCGGGCCTTTAAAACGAGCCAAAAATATGCCAATGCCTAAAAACGTACATGCATTTGCAAATCAAACATCATTTTTTTAATTTAAATCGAAAGTTTAATTTGCATGCGTCATTTAGGCAATTCATATGTTCTGTAGTTGTGAAAAGTGATTCAAGGGTATGATGTACGAGCAATAGAGAGTACGTGCTTATATAAACCCCGATCAAAAACATTAAAAATCTAAGCGCTTAACATAATATTTTATCCCATTGCCTAATTTTATGTACCTATCTCTGTGTCTTCTTTGCCTTTTATTTATAAAAAATTCTATAACACAGGGATGTGATGTTTACGACTTTGTATATCGCACGACTATGTGTAGGAATCAGTTTATTTTCCATAAAACTTTATTTGAAAGGTTTAACTGCTTGGGGTTGGAAATGAAATATTATGACTAAAATAATTGATTTACTCTCTATGTTCGCAATTATTTCATATGTGTATTTCTATTATTAACTATGTATAGGAATCACGAATATTCAAATTGAAGTGACATAAAACTTTATGTGGAAGGTTTTACTGCTTAGCGCTGGTAATGAAATATTATGGCTTAAATAACCGAATAACTGCCTCGCTTCGCTTTTCTTCCATAAATTATTAACAAAGACTTTTTCTTTATATTTAGTAATAATTTCAATTGGATTCTTTGCTTCAAATATATACTATCATATTTTAAAAAAAAAAGGTTTTCAATATTATTTTTATTTATATATATTTCTCTATGACGGCATATTAACCATTTTTTTAATATGTCCCTTTTACTGGTTTACTACAGCTAACGAACTATTCAATCTAAGGTACCATGAGAAATAATATCTTTTAATTCGGTTTGTGAACAGTTGTACATTATAAAGCTAGAAAATCATTGAAATGATTTTATTTTCACAAACATTTTTTATGTGATTGCGCGCACAACTTTTAAAATATTTTCCCCAAACTGAATATGCAATTTTTTGAACAATATTTTCTTGACAAAATTCTTGTAAATATTCTCTAAAAAAATTATCTTAACACAGGGCATAATTCAGTCGTTCAGTCTCACAATGCATTTGATCACTTTCATTTGTTTGTCACCTTGAAATGAGCGATTAATCAAAGACTAAAACTCAACAAATCATTTGGCTGGCACACTAAAAAAATCCATTTACTAAAATAAAATAAAAACGGAAGCGAACGCTCACAAATTAATCAGTTTCGATTTCGGCACTTGCGGTTTAATTGGCCATTGGGCGGCACACCCTAACGATCTGTGTGTGTGTGTGAGTGTGTGTGTGCGTGTGCACACATAAAAATTTATCACGCCTCCAACTGTGGCAAGGACTAGGACTCCGCCTAATTCAAACATTCGAATTTACGTTAAAACCTCATAAAAGTTCGCGCGCCAAAAAAAAGGAAGTGCCGTTATGAAGTTCATTCAGTTGTTGATGGTGTGTGTGTGTGTGTGTGTGCGTGGGAAATGGGTATGGCGATGGGGTGTAGGCTGGTATGTTTATACTCACATGAACTAAGCAAAGGAGCAGTCGCTATCAGCAGGCAGCATCCTGTGGCGTTGCTTTATAATATATAAAAATATATATGTTTCTTCCCACGCTGGCTTTTGTCCTGGCAGCGCAGCTGTGTGTGTGTGTGTGTGCCTGTGTGCGTTTGTCCTGTGTCCGTGTCCTGAGCGCTTGCCACGTTTGCCGTCTAAACGATTTACGACACTTTTGCCAACTGCTTTGCCGCACACATTTGCAATATTGTTTCTACTAAGTATAAGTGTGCCCGTGTTTGTGTGTATGCGTGTTCTATCTGTGTGTTATTAGCATTAAACAAAACCAACATAAACACACGCACATATACATTTGTAGTTGCAAAAACAGCAACGAATGCCGCACACGTTCGTTTTTATTATGTTAAATGTCTCCTGGGGCCAAGCAGCAGGACACACACACACGCACACACAGCCATTCTGGCGCCACAACAACGGTAAATCGCAACGTCTGCTTTGCCTTTGTAAGTGTCTGTTTTTTTGTGCAACTGTCTGTTTTTTTGTGCAACTTTCTCGACTGTCTCTGCGTCTGTCACATTTCACATAAACTCAGCCTGAAACGCGCGCGCCAAAAAGTATGCTACACAATTCGCTCGCCGCACCAGCAGCAGCAGCTGCCGCGACAGCAGTCGAGCGTTACCCTTTTCCACCTGCCGCTTTTAACACACAGCACGCCGCTCCACTGAAGACTGACGCGGCAAGGCGCTTCAATCCGTGCGAATTGGCCAGCTTCGTTAAATTCACCCACGCACGAGCCAAGTTAAACGCGACGCTGTGCCGAGCATAGCCGAAAGCTTTTCCCTGTCCTGTGTTGAGTTGAGTTTGACTGCAGCGGCACTTCGCTCTTTGCTGTGTGTGAGTTGAGTTTCTCTTGAAAACAGTCTGCAATTTACTGCGCTCGTTGTTGAGCTTCATCGATATATTTGAGCGCAGCTCTTTTCCTTCAAGCAGCCCAAAGAGACGTTGAGACCTGTCGGTGTACTGAGTCGTGAGCGCTATTCCTGTACTCGATTCTCTTTGTAAGTCCTGCCGCTCCGCTCGAATTTGAGTTGAGTTTTGTGCCGCTTGAGCTGCAAGTCGCCTGGGTGCTCTTGAGCTACTTAAAGCTAGCCTGGCTACTGAGTTTTCTATGAATTGCTCTTAGTTGCTTTGAGTTTTCAGTTGAGCACTTACACAGCTGCTATGAACCTTGAGTACTTTATTCGACTCTTATTTAGCAGCTCTTTGAGCAACATTATTGAGAAGAATGTTTGAGTTGTAGCTTGTTTTAGTAATGCTTTGAGCTGCATTTATGAGTGAGCTTTAACTACACTGCAAATTGCATCTTTGAGTGAGCTACATATTGCTCTTTAATTACAAGATATTAACAAAATATTATATATTCTTTATATTTAGAAATAATTTATATGCTTGAAGTACATATTTTTAAAGTTATAAATTAAATTCATTTATTTATTTACTAAATTTATATATATTTCTATACTCAAAAATTGCTTCCATATTTTAAATACAATATTTAATAATAATATTAATTTAGTCAAAGTTTGAACCTTGCTTGAGTCAGTTGCAATTTGGACGGCCTAACAACTTTGCTCAAGCTGAGATACTTTCGTTCGCTCACACTTTATGTGTGCTCCACATTCTCTTTTCTTGCACTTTTGAGCCGAATTGAGCTACCTATGCGACTCCAACATCAGCATTTTCGCTGCTCTCTTTAGCTCACTTGAGTGTCGTCCTTCACTGAGTTGCTTTTTACTTTATACTTTATACTCGCGCTCTTTGCTTGGCAAGCTTTCGAGCTGGTTTCGTGGCGCTTCGTTAGCGCCTCGTTGCTCGCACGAAAAACTCACCACAGTAGCTTGCCGATTGCGTTTATTCGCTCAGGTTGCTCGTTGTGCCTCGGCTGACACATAAACACACACACACAAACACAAACCCACTCACACACGCGCACACACACCATCTGCTCGCTGCGGCTGGTGCTGAGCCTTGGCCAATCGTAAAAGTTTTGTACGTATTTAGTACAATTTCGGGATTTGGCAGGATGTAACCAGCCTGTAAGAAACTGAGCGCGCTGTGTGTGAGAAAAAAATAAAGAAATAACAATCAAATACAACAAAAAATTGCTTAAAAAATGGTTTAAAAATTTCAAATAAAATACTAAAAATATACAAAAATAAATATATTATATATAATATATAAATACTTGTGTTTTGTTGAAGAGTTTGGATTGAAAACGTCAACATCTTCGGCTTTGCCTCGGTTAATACTCGTTACACACCAAACCGCCCCAGCCCGCCTCAGCTCCCCCGTCTTTCAACGCATGCCACGCGTCGCGTCGTGTTTACCGCGTGCCGGTTAACGGTTCTTATTTGTTTGCGTTTTATTTTTTTTTTTTTAGTTTTTAGCTCAAAGTACGGCAACAGCTAATTAATGTTTGCATTGAATTTGAAGCGCTTTAAGAACTGGTAAAAAAATTAATTTAAATGTTTGTTTAAATTTATAGCAGAAAAACAGATCTTTGTGTGTGGTCTTAAAATGTCGTTTAGGCTTTAGATTATTAGGCATGGCAGAGGATTTGCTTATGCAATGCTAAAATAGAGTTAAAATTCTTATAGAAAATTGACAAAAAAAATAACGAACCCAAAAAAGTGGCTTCACAAAATGAAACGATTTTCACAGCAATTGACATGGGGCAAGGGTCGCGTCAGGGGCGTCGTGTAATGTGGGCAGGAGGGGAGGTAGGAAACTAACCCAAAATCAAAATCTGTTGTGTTTGTTTTTGTTGTTGTTGTTGTTGTCCTGTGTCATTGTCCTGCCACTGTAGCTGCTGCTGCTGTTGGTCCCGGGTAATAGTGTCGTTTCCTTTATTTGTGCCCGCATTGACTTTTATGTTACCTTCTTCGCCTTTTTTTCCACTTCTGGTGCTGCTGCTTCTTCTTGCTCGCCGACGCACACACAATTGAAAATTCAATTGATTTACAAAATGAAGTAGCTTTGCACTGAGCGTGTGTGCGTGCGGGCGTGTGTGTGTGTGTGTGTGAGCGTTTTATTTTTTATCTATTTTCATTTTGGCTTTTACGAGCGGTACAACAATTTTGAGCTGCTCTCCTCGGGCTTTTGGCTTAAAGCAAGCGTTAACAGTTTTCCAGTTTGTAGTTAGGCTAGAGGCGTGGCACAGCGTTTGACGCCCAAATTTCCTGCCTTTGTTTTGGGCAGCGCAAAACAAGCGTCACGTTTGCGGCGACTGCGACTGATGGTCACTGTTGTGCATGTGTGCGAGTGTGTGTGCGTATGTGTGTGTCTGTGGATTGCGGCCTCAATCGTTTTTGGGCGAAGAGCTGTGATTTTTTGGGCGTTTATTTTTTATTTGTTGGTTGGGCAAAGGCATTGAAATGTTTGCTCTGGACATTGTCCTCAAGTTTTGTGGGACAAGCAAGCGAAAAGGATGCGCCAGAAATTGACACAGTTAGGGTTTTTTTTGGGGTAGCTATATGGGCCTAGTAAGTGAATTTCCACGCAGTGAATCGTAAGTGTAACTATCCAATGGAAACTTGCCCGAAAAAAAGGAAGCTGGCATTTTTGATAGATGGCTTTAAGTTGAATCGACTGTCAAATGCATTTTTGGGCTGACAATTGAAATTTGTCAATCTAAACAATATAGAAGATATAATTCAGATTAAATTTTAGTAAAACTGAGTTTTATTTATGTGTCCGAATTTTTCGCCGGCCCCAAAAAGCATGCTATAAAATTGGTTGTGCAGTTCGTGCTCTGAAATTTGAAATTCAGCTCTATTTCTGCACATAAAATAAACTCGTAAAATTATTTTTATAATTTTTATTATCAGCAAGAGCTCACACACGCCAACTGACTTATCGTAAATAATGTGTATTATACTTATATTTGTCAAACTTGTGCCAAATTATAAATATTGTGCTGTGTTTTGACATTTGAACCCTTTGAATGTCATAATGCCTATTGATTAATGCAGCTCCGCAAGAGGCTTACGGCCATTTCAAAGCACGACTATTAATACACATAAGGTACACTTTTAAGCAAAAGTGGAATATCTCAAGCTCTTGAAGTTTTTTCAAGCAAGAAATAGTTAACGCAAGTTTCACACACTTCAATAATTGACGAGCTCTTAAAACGTATCCAGCGAATTAATAGAGCACGCTGCGAAATAGGCAATTTTTCTTCTCCCTTTGCGTTTGTAATATTCGATCTGACTTCAAGAAGTTTGCTTATGAATCGCATCAAAGGCAACAAATCGCACGCTCGCATAAGCCAAGCATTGGATTTGTAATCAACTCCCAGCTCATTGAGGGAGCGAAGAAATTTCAGTGGCAGGGGGGAAGGTGAAGAACATTTAGTTGCCGCATTAAAACTGCAAATGCGAGCATTTGGTCCTTTTTCATGACCTTTGACAGCTGCTGCTGCTGCTACTTTGTAGCATACTTTTGCGCTGCTTTTTATTGTGTAGCATTCAGTGTTGTCCTTTGGAGCAACTGTTGTCCTTTTTTCGTTTTTTGTTGCCACTTTTGCAGCATTCGATTGTTTGCCATAGAGATAATTTGCAGTTAAGCCAAGCAAAAGCAGCTCAGTTATGTTGTTTTACATTGTTAGTTGGTTTTAAAAGGCAAACAGCTTGCGAAAAGGACCTCGAGACTTAAGCGCCTGATGAAGTAGTTTTGCACAGTTTTACAGTTGTCAAGAGTTTCACATTTTTGATAAGATGCTTTTCGTGTTTTTTTTTTCGCATTTGTCTTAAGATTCTTAAAGCTGCATCAAAGATATACACAACATACTTAAAGCTCCTGCTCTCCGTCTTACTTCCGTCGTTCTTCAATCCCTACCTGCCCACATTCTTCATCTCATTTCGTGGCTCCCACAAGCACTTTGTTTTGCTCGTTTCGGTGTCAAGTGTTTTTATTAGACCCAACGCAGAAAAAAGAAAGAAATAAAGAAAATATGAAAAATATGTGGTAAAGAGAATATGAAAAAAATTGCAGCTACTAGAGTCGACAGCTGTGTCAACTACTTCCCCGGATCCCCGCCTACTCCTTAAGAGCTGACGCCCATTTTATCTTTATGCGCGTGTATGTGTGTTTCCTTTACCTTTATAGGAGCTGTTGCTTTTTCCTTTTATATATGTGCTCCATCAAAGCAATATTTAAATGAAGTTTTGCGACATCTCGGGCAGATTTGAATACCCTGTGAATATTGGAAATCTCTAAAAGGGTTTATAAAGGTTTATATTCGTAAAAATGTATGTAACAAAAGATGGCAAAAGACGGCAGCTCCGACAATTTTATATATATATTATTGGCCAAGTTTGTATATAAATAGTTGTACAGAGTATCTACTAGAGTATCCACTCACGGCAAGAGCACTATTACTTGTTGTATTTGCGTTTGGAATCCATTTTGGAGACACTCATAACACGCATACGACGTGTGTGACAGCTAAAGTTCTTGCTGTCAACTTGAACCATTGCTGACACTCGTTTTTCTTTGTTTTATTGTATTATATGGTAACATATCTAGCGAGCAGTTGGCTTATCAGATGTCATTAGCCTAATTGACAAAAAGTCAGCAAGTTTTCTGTGTAGTTCTTCTCTGGCTAAGTCAAGTTTATGTCAGCGT